CGTTTGTTCGAATGTCTATTACATTCCTGATGATGCCAACTGAAAGCTGGCGAAAGCTCGAATAAAGTATTTTCAAGACTGAAAGTCATGTTATTCATAGCAGTTCTATATTCGATTTACAAATACTAAGTTCTCTTTTTCTTTTCCGCTTTGTTTGTTGGTCTAAAATGTTACTAAAATTGATGCGTATCCTAACTCAAAAAATCTTTGACAATATCACAGTAAAAATATAGATTTCTTGCAATCTCAGATTTTGCCCATTAAGTTTAGCATCTTTAGCATTGAATGAAACGTGTTTACTGTTATGTGACATCATTGTAAAACCTTGCTTTTAAACGTTTTTTCTGTCAACGTTTGCTTCAACAGCTTTTCTCACGTGTTATGATGTCATTTTTTTTGTTTTTCTAAATGGCAGATTTCGCCTGTCATTACGATTGAAGATTTTTCTTAGTTTTGGTACGATGAGATGTCGACGCTCTCTTTTTATTTTGTTTTAATTGATATGCGAGCACGATAAAGAGATGTTGTAAGTTAGTTTTTTGTAGGCATTTTATAATGAATTGTTAATTTAAGAGAGCACCGGACAATTTCAAAAAATGAAAATCAGTTGTCATTTTCTAACGTATTTTTTTAACGCTGGTTCTCTTTTTACCTATTACCGATTTTTCGATACACTTCTTTGTCTTTAAGTTGCCCTGGAAAAACTAATGTATTGTACTTGATCGATATCTCTATTTATTCTAGTATGTCAGCATCATCTCCCGTTCAAGTTCGTGTGTTAACATTAAATGAAAATGATCACTTATCTAATGTTTTATACCGATTAAAACGTGGCTGGATAGTTCAAATTGTCTTGTCATCTCATATCGTTTCACAAAAAGTCAAAGTATTTACAAATTCTCCAAAAGGGTACTCCAATCCATTTCAACGTAATTCATTTCGTGAATTGAAATGGGTTTATCCTTCAACGATAAAATATGACGATTCAAATCGATATTGTTCAATTGAATGTGTGAAACCGGGAACATTTCAGTATTATTTCACAACGAATGGAACAAGGTAATTTATTCAACTTATTCAATTTATTCATTATAAAATTTGTGAAATTTTATTTTGCTGCATGAACTTAAAATTCGATTTCCCAAATTCAATATTTATTCTAGTGATGAAGCATCGTCAGCTGGAAGCGGGTATTTTCAAGTAGAACCGGTACTAGTTTATAAAGATAGTGACAATGTGTTAGCCCAAGATTCTATCCTATGTCAGTCGGTTTTATCAAAATCTTTGGGTCTATTCGAAGAATGGGAATCTCGTTTAGAAGTAACAAAACAGACGGGCTACAATATGATACATTTTACTCCAATACAAAAGTTGTACACTGTCTCAAATTCATCCTATGCAATTACTGATCATCATAAACTCAATCCAATTTTTGGAGGTATAGTTAGCAAGTATCTTACTATGACTGGAAATAACTGATTTTTCTCTAGATAAAAGTTATGATGATCTTGCGAAATTAGTCGACAAATTGGCTCGTGAGTGGCATATATTTTCTATAACTGATCTTGTGTATAATCATGCAGCCAATGATTGTGAATTACTCAAGCTACATCCAGAAGCAGCCTATAATCTTCAGAATTCACCGCATCTGAAACCAGCATGTGTATTAGATTCAATTCTGATGCAATTTACAAGAGATTGTCAAGCAGGTCTTCTAGAAGGGAGAGGAATACCAGCAAATGTTAAAGATTATCATTTGCAGGTAAAGCGGAGATAATTTGTATTAGATAAATTCATGAAGTTTGCTTCAAATTAAATTTGTCGTATTTAGATTATTCGACATTATTTATTGGAATGCGACTTACCTCGTTATAGACTGTGGGAATATTATCAGTGCCATGTGGATGAGTTATGTGAAGAATTTCGACAACAATTGATGAAAGAACATGAACAAATATCCGATGTACAACAATGTGAAGTAGAAGAAAATAAATTACAGTTGAAACTTGGAACATATAAAAGATTACAGGCAAAAGTCGATTTACAAATGGCCAGACAAATCTATTTCTACAAACAGTATGTAGCAAATACAATCGATTCATATGATTCAATCGTGACTTTTGCTTTCCGTTTTAGTCACTCTGAATCATCGTTAAATGACGTAGTCGACCAGGCATGTTCATCGCTTCGTCATCGATTAGTCTATTTAAACCAATTACAATTTGATAAAGTTCAAAAAGATTTAGTTCGAGCAGTTGATAATGCATTAGCTGGATGTCGTTACCATTTTTTTTCTCCCGATGGACCGAAATATGAGCAAATTAGTGTAAAAACGCCGTTTGTTGGAAATTATTTTGCTTATCCAAACGGAGAGTTCAGGCATCCAAATGAAATTGAAAGATTAATCGATACTGATGAAACCTTTCAGCAATATACTATGGCACACAACGGATGGATTGTAAATGATAATCCACTCAGAAATTTTGCGGAAGAAGGTGAAAGAAAAGAATGACCACGTTCAGCTAGTTTTTTACTAAACTTAATTTCAATATTTAAATTTGTTTATTCAGGTGAAGATGTTTATTTTCGTCGTGAACTAGTGCAGTGGTCTGATATTGTTAAACTTAGATTTGGAACATGTTATGAAGATTCTCCAGCACTATGGGATTATATGAAAGAATACACCAGATTAGTAGCAACAACATTTCACGGATGTAGATTGGATAACTGCCATTCAACCCCACTTGTGGTCGCACAAGTAGGTCTTCCCATCTTTCTCCCTCTAGTTCTATTAATTTTATTTTTCATTTTAGACGCTCATGGATTATGCCCGTGAGATAAATCCCAATTTCTATATATTAGCCGAATTATTTACAGGAAATGAAGACACAGACAAAGTCTTTGTTAACAAATTAGGAATCAATTCACTTGTAAGAGGTAATTGCCATATATGTATAGACTAATCTTGAGGCAGAGACGACTTTCGAGATGAATTCCAGTTTTTCTGAAACCAGAGTAAATAATCGATAAAACACCTAGAATATCAAGAAAGTAAAGTCTAATTCAAACGTTTAGCTTCGTTTTCTATATTAGCTTTAAATAATCTTAGTTATTTTTGATTGTTGCCTTTACAATGATGTTTGAAAAATTTTCTCCTGAATAATGGACAATGATGTATCAAATTATTGAACATGGATTTATTTAAAACAAAGATTATGCTAGAACAAATCATATATGGCTACAACTCAACAGAAATAATCTCTGTACGAGGGCAACGACGTTTTTTTAATCACATTTTCAACAGAAATAGATTTACAGTATAGCAAAAAAACCAAAAAAGTGAATAACTCGTTGTGACAGTTAGCTTGGGTTAAGTGGCTTTAAAATATTATTTTTTAATGTCAAAGTATACATCGGATCATTTTAGAGTAAAATTTTTCTTAGGCAGAGTAAATTGGAAGACTCTTGGCAAATCTGCCCATTGAAATATAAAATGAAACAAAGTATTCTATAAACACATACACATCTCAGGTTAATTCACGACTTTGGCGGAAGGTAGAATCGTAGAGGATTGCTGAGAGATCATTTTGCGTTTAGAATATTTGAGCTTATCTTCAAAATAATGATAATAAATAAATTTGTTTTCAAATTTAGAATCAATGAATGCGTGGGATACATACGAGTTAGGTCGTCTCGTTGGTCGTTATGGTGGAGATCCTATTGGCTCTTTTTTTCAACCACCTGTTCGTCCAATTTTATCACAATTGACACATTCGTTCTTTTATGATCAAACACACGATAATCCATGTCCGATAGAAGTAAGATTAAGAAACTTGTATGCATTCTCTGTATCTCTTAAGTTTTATGTATATTTAGCGACGTAGTCTCGAAGATGTTTTACCTCGTTCAGCCTGTGTAGCAATGGCATGTTGTTCAAATGGATCAAATAAAGGATACGATGAACTTGTACCACATTACGTAATATAGCTTTGTACATGACTTTAAATAATTTCCTGTGTTTATTCCTCTTCTCTAGATCGATGTTGTTCATGAAAAACGAGTTTATTCTCAGTGGGTTGAGGAAGAAACAAACATGTTAATGGGTCTTATTCCAGCAAAATTAGTTCTCAATCGATTACACTGTGAATTAGTACACAATGAATATCAACAGGTACTTATAGATGCAAACTGTAGTATCTCTCATTTTTTCGGTAAATAATGCTGTCGATTATAGCTTAGAAGGTCAAGTTATTCATCAAACCTTTTTTTATTGTCAAGTTTAACGTAAAGCCTCAGAATATCTTTCTTTTGTTGAACAGCAGTTGTTCTCAACGATGTTCGCAAGATTATCGATGAAAAACAGTATGTGTTGTTAGTGTTGCTACTGCTGCTTTTCACGTATGCTATATAAGCTTATCAGGCTCACCACCTTTTGTTATTGAACAAAATTGTGTATTACGTTTAGTAAAAAAACATAGTACCTAACTAGAAATTTCTAATTTAGACGTGTATATGGTGTGTGTGTGCGTCATTACAAACACACCATGTTTTCCAGTGAACTTTGATCCTTTGACTGATGGAGCGACAGCTCCAGGTATTAAATGATCTTCCTCTTGAATACAGTTTTCATAACGTTTTTCAATGCATATCACGAATCTGATGTCCATTACTGCAAGGGATCCCAATTAAGGAGATCTCAGAAGAACAGGATACTGTGTACATCCTCGAAAAATCGAAGCGCTGTTTTCCGATCTAAGTGCATTCGATCTGAAAACTTTGCCATAAAAGTGAATTTCTTCATTTGAAAGTTTTTGGATAGTTCTCGAGAGACCCGGTTTCAAAAGCATGGTACTTGTAAAGCCTAACAGTAAAGGACATCGGATTCATGGTATGCATTGAAAAAAGTCATGAAAAACTGTACTTCAAGGAGAAGGTGACTTATCATGTGGGAATATCGCCGCGTGTGTCGTGAAAAAGATTTTATCGACTCCCTTTTCTATCTGGAATCTGTTTTGTGCAAGTTCAGGCTTAGAAGGAGTTCTGGTACTCGAAAGGATCTCTTGGACAGACTCTTTCGCAATTGAATAATCAGTCAGTACATTTAAATGAAAGTTCAATTAAGATCGAAAGTATCTAAAAATAGTCTTTTGAAAAAAAAAAAAATCTTCTGAACTCTCGCAAGAATAATCCTTGTTTTTCGTGCCTTTCTTTATGACAAAACAAAAAAGTTTTTATTTTATTAGAAGTCTTATTCAACTCCAAGTCCTGAGTTGAACTACTCTTGCTTCTGGGACTCTCAAAAAATTAAGTCTTCTCATCAAACGTGATCGATCGTTTCTGTGGATGTGTGTTCTAAACGAGATACCACTATGACATATTACTATCTATATGGGATATCTGCGTTATTTTGAGAAAACTGCTAATAACACTCTTCCCTTGAAAAATAAATAAGATTCGCCACCTCTAGATGGTACTGGACCGTTTATGTGACCTTATGTTTAGATTACTATTGATCAATTATCATCAACGACGTTGTGTTTAACTCGTCATAATCCTGGGACTCATCAATCGATCATCTTAGTTGCACATACAGCATTTTCGCCACCACAACAATATTGGGAATATATCAGACCACTGAATATTAGTGGTATACTCTATGCTTCTATTCTTCTTCTTCATTTAATGCATGTTCTGTCATCTAGGTCATATTGATGAAATATTATTTGAAATGACCATTTCCTCTCCCGATGGAATCAACAATTTTAAACGTAATCCAAATTACATTAATGGATTAAACAATGTTCAAGTCAATGTACGTGAACATCTTCAAATCGAACAGAGTCAATGTGTCAACTTACACTCATCGAACGCGAAAACAGATTCAAACGATAGACACATCACTTTTGACAAATATTTTCCACCAGGAACAGTCATCGCGTTCAAGTAAGGATTAGCACTAACATATACAGAGATTGTTGGTGCCACGAGCAAGGTAGGATTTAGATGCATTAATTCTGTTTATTTAGAGTTTCACTATTGGATAATGCTCAAAAGAGTGTTCATGAAGTACGTAAATCTTTAAGAGAATTTATTCCATCAAATGATAGTACCGATAGTATTTTTCAATCGCTGGTGAAATCTTTGTCATTGGTCGAGTTAAACCGGCTATTATATCGTTGTTCACAAGAGGAACTAGCTGATGGTAAAGGTTTTGATGTTTATGAAATATCTGGTCATGGGAAAACGGTTTATTGTGGATTGCAAGGAATTATGTCTGTATTAGAAAAGATAAGATTAACCAATGATCTAAGACATCCACTATGCAACAATTTAAAAGATGGCAATTGGTTATTGGATTATATCACGAATAGATTACTAGCGCAAAAATCCACACAAGAAGTATGAGAATATTTGAACCGTTAGTTTATTGCACGATTGTATCTGATGGGGTCCTGCCGTTATAATCTCTCGCTACTGTATCGTTGTTCACTAAAATTTTAGCGGAAACTAGCTCAGCTTAGAATCACAGAATATATGGATAGTATTTTCACCTAATTACATTTGCGTATATATACACACACATCTTTATCGAAAGTACAATCTTAATTTTTCTCTTTTTTGCAGATTGGTGAATGGTATCGCTCATGTTTTAGTCATCTGACTCAATTACCACGTTATTTAATTCCCGCTTATTTTGATGCTATCGTAACTGGTTCGTACACGGTACTGGTCGAACATGGCTGGAATTTAATGACAAAATTCATTCGTGAGGGATCATTATTTGTCAAAGCTCTTGCACAATCTTCAGTTCAACTATGCGGAATTGTTCAATCAGCGAGACTACCTTTGTTATCACCATTACTTTCTGAGCCTAGGCCGCAGGACGACATCGATGAACATACTTATCTTAAATATCCCAAATGTCCAACGCTATCAGCCGGATTGCCTCATTTTGCTGCTGGACTATGGAGAAATTGGGGAAGAGAGACATTTATATCGCTAAGAGGTCTTATGTTATTAACGGACAGATTCGAAGAAGCAAGGTAAATGAAACAAAAAATGACATGATATTTACCAGAACCAAATGCTTTTCTTTGTTAGATATATACTGATTGCCTATGCACAATGTCTTCGACATGGACTAATTCCTAATTTATTAGGTGATGGTGCTCGGCAAGTCCGATATAATAGTCGAGATGCTGTTTGGTGGTGGTTATATTCGATTGGAGAGTATATTATGCAAGCGCCGGATGGTCACGAAATCTTGGATGATCGAGTATCGCGAATTTATCCGACACATGACAGCCCTCCGCAGCCAGCAGGAGCACACGATCATGCTCTCTATGATGTTATACAAGAATGTTTACTTCGACATCTTCAATCGGTTACATTTCGCGAGAGAGGTGCAGGTTACGGTCTCGATCAACATATGAGTGATGAAGGCTTCAATAATCGAATTGGAGTCGATTTTGAAACGGGATTTGTTTATGGAGGCAATCGATACAATTGTGGAACATGGATGGACAAAATGGGTTCAAGTGAGAAAGCCGGTAACAAAGGAATACCCGGATCACCGAGAGACGGCTCAGCTGTGGAATTAATCGGTTTATGTCGAGCAACGCTTAAATGGCTGATAAAAATGTCAGATGAAAAACATTATCCGTATGATTATGTTGAAACATCATCACGTATGTAGTTAAGAGAAAAAAGGAATCGTTCATTGCGTTCTGCTGCCAATCTATTAGTATATAAACAAACAATTTCTTAAATTAATAGAAGTTAATTTTTCTTTTTGTAGAACAGTGTTTGTTATGTATGTTTTTAGAGTAGTCGGCCTTTGACAAGTTGATATCTTCTACCATTCGTTTTCATCTGTTTCTTTTTAGCGTCTGGTTCAAAGATCAAATTAAAATTTGAAGATTGGTTAGCTAAAATTGATTCTAATTTTGAAAAATATTATTGGATAGATGAGCTTGACTCTTCTTCTCCATTAATAAATCGACGTCAAATTTATAAAGACACAATAAATTCAAGTTTACAATGGTCAGATTATCAGTTTAGACCGAATTTTTTAGTTGCTTCGGTAGTTGCTCCTGAAATGTTTGATAAATATCACATATGGAAAGCATTAGAACAAGTTGAAAAAATTTTATTAGGAAAATATGGTATTAAGACGTTGGATCCAAATGATTATAATTATGTAGGTGATTATGTCAATGATGATGATTCAACAGATCCTTGTCGTGCTCATGGTTTCAATTATCATAACGGTCCAGAATGGTTATGGCTCATGGGTTATTATTTACGCTCTAAATTGTACTGGGCATCTCAACTTGAGAAAGAGGATGAAACAATGAAAGGAGTTTTAAATCGCACAATTATACATTGTAGACATATTCTAACAAATCATCAACAACTTATTATGGTAAGATTTATTATGGCTCAGATTATTTTCAATTATAAAGTACTTTTTCTATTTTAACCAATATTTTTCTTTTGTGTTTTAGAACAATGATTGGAAGGGTTTGCCTGAACTGACAAATGCTGGTGGTGTACATTGTCCACATTCTTGCACTGCTCAGGCTTCGACATCGGCCACATTATTAGAAACAATGTATGATCTAGCTAGAATCTATTAGAAATTTTTAAAATTTTCTCTTCTAATTTTCTAATCAAAACACGTATTTTATTTTTGCTACCTTTTAGTACCGTTCGATCTGTTTTCTAGTCTATTATCCTTAGTATAGTGACATAGTTTTCATATTTTCTATTTTTTATTTGTTTATTGACGTTAATAAGCTAGAGAGAACATATCGAAACTTTTGTTTCATTAGTGTCCAAAAATTTAGTTTGAAAATGAAGTTAAATTCTCAAGTGGATATCGTACAGTATACAAACAGAATTAAAATTAAGAAGAGTACAGTGAAAAAAGAAGATATGATAACAATCACTGAATACTAGACTAATAAATAAGAGCTGAGATAGAATATTCTAACTAGCACATAATCAGGAGATCGAGCGTGAGGGGATTAGCACGGCACATACATATGTTTGGGAGGAGTGCATCGACTACTGATAATTATAAAATATTTTATTTAAAACGAGCAATGTTCGTGTTACAAAGCGTATTACTTTGAGATGATTGGTTTTATTAGGAAACCTCAATAAGCAAATGTTAATATTGAATGGTGCATTGAGCATGTTTAGTAGATTTATTAATATGTTTCTTTGAGCGTTATAGTTTGGCCATGCGAAGAAAAAGTGATTAATATCTTCTTTAACACACGGAAGTGAAGTAAGACTCATGCAATGGGAACAAAAGGGTGACAGAATACATTTTCTTTGATGTAGATAGTATAATTTAATACAGGAAAATCTACTCTTATACGGCAATCGGAAGCTTCAATACGATGAGAAACGATTGTCGGAATTTTAACAGGTAACGAAGATAAGCTGACTCTTAATTCTTTACGAAATAGAACAGGTCTCCTAGGTACACATAAATGTGGTGGTTTTTGCATAAGTATATTTCAATTTTGAGTTGTTGGTTATTGAAAAGAATTTTTTTCTATTTTTTATTTCTCAACAAAACGGCAATATTGCATATTGAAGTTTCTCTAACTGCTCTTCTTTATAAACATATTTATTTACAATTTTTTAAAAAAAATAAGAGTAAAACATCGAGCTAATACACATACAATAGCAAAACAATTAGTTTTAATCATTATCAATAAGGTGTATGAAGTAGTTCTACAATTTGTTGTTTCATTTGATCTGAACTTAAATCTAAATAAATAAAACAGCAGTTAAAAAACGATAACACTAATCAATAACTGAGTCAGTTTTTGACAAAGTAGTATCCCGAAAAAAAAATCTTAAACATTTTTTTGTCCATTTTCAAGGAACAGTTCAGTTATTTTCATTAACGGTATAAAACATAGGATTATAAAAAGACGTACGTGATAAAGTTTCTTTTAGTTTATTCTCTCTCATCATTATCATTGTTGCCAAATTATTTATTTTCATTGAACTTAACTCGAGATTGTGAACAATAACAATTTTATCATTAAATGTAACATAAATAAAACAGTAAGTATTCATTGATTCAACGGCATATAAACCTAAACACAATGATGAACTTTAAAAATGTTTAAAAACAGAAATATTTATGACCACAATTACCGGCTGTAAAACATCGTACTTTTTCATCTAATTTGAAACGAATAATATCAAAACGATGATCAATAATAAATGTATCACCGTCCCAAGAAGAGACAGCTAATTGATTTGTACCGTCATTCTAAGTGTTATACATAAATGATTTCTAATCAAATGATGTTAGAGTTGGGTACTGGATAACCGGTTAATATCGATTTATGACTCTTTGTCAAGAAGTTAATTTCAGAAGATTAAGAGCTCTATCATGTCTCATTATGTAGAAGTATGTTTACTCTATAAAACTCTTCACCGCTGCAAATAATCCTAGTCTCAACAATGCCGTCAGATCTGTCTCTTTAATTGTGTCTATTCAGACGGACTTTCTCGAGGAAAGACGTGTGATTTCGATGATCAAATAAAACGATAATCATAGAAAAACTAGATTTATACTACATTCGTACCTTTTGTACGATATCTATTTCTTTCATAAATTTTCTCTGCTCTCGGTCAAAATTTACATTATAAATATATTTATATATATATATAAGTTATATAGTAGTGTAATTTTACATCTAAAGTTCAATTGTATAGTTCTCTTAAAAATGTCTCTAAGAAAAGGCGAAAACAGAGTATTTTGTCTCATAGAGAAGAAATAGATTTTTTTACATATGAAATATGCAATTTTTTTCCATGGTTCATGTGAGTTTATCATGTCATTGATATTTTGTTAACAATTGAAAAACCGAAAACATTGAGATAATTTTATTTTACCATAAAATCTCCTTTCTGTAGTCCAAATAACACATTATTTAATTGAATTGATCGAGTTTGTTTTTCAAGATTATTTGAAAATATATTAATAGAACCTAAATAGATTGAAGAAAAATTATTGTTAACCATCAGAGCATAGATTAATTTATAAACGAACCGTCTGATGTACATGTTGCATAGACTGTGTTACTATCTGTTTGCGTTATATTAGGAAAAAAATTTTCTAATGAAATTGCTTCAGTTATTGCATTTTCATGTTTTGATATATCTGTAGATAGTAATCGTCCTAATAGAGAAAACAAACGTTAAACATAATTTTAAAATGAAAAAGAACAAGATGTTGTTAAACCTATTGCTGGTATTTGGTCAGTAGAGACCATTTCATTTGGATTAAAACGAATTAAATTTCCACCAGATTGTGATATCACTAATTCATAAGCGTTCTTATTTAGACGATTAGAAGTAATTGTATGAATCTAAACGATTCTTTTAATTATTTAATGAATATACTGTTTGTGATGTCTTACCTGTCCAGCCACATTGAAAGCCAATTTCAAAATGAAACGAACTGATAATCGGGCATCTGATTCTTCATGAATTGTACATGAAAATATTCTCAATGTTTGATCGTAATATCCGATAATCAGTTGTTTTTCGCCATCATATTCTTTAATTAAACAAATAATAGAAGAAAATGATATAGAACTTAAATAATCTTGGTTTAAACTTTATTTATTTATAGAGAAAAGATACAAATACGATCGAGTGCAATATTTATTATGGACATATTGTCAGCAAAGAAGAAAGAAGAATACTAAACATGCATACGAAAAAGAATTGTAAAAGATAAAAATAGTCCAAATAAAAAAAAGTGGGAATAGGCGTAGAGCCAGATAATCGTACCTTCAACTAAAATCACTTTTGGATTACAAATCAATTGCTGACTGTAAGACACTTTCAATTCTTCTTCCGGAGAAGCCGGAAGAATAGGTAGGTGATTGTAGCTATGTTCTGAAGCATGCTGATCAGCACTTGCGTGTCGTCGTCTTTCTAACTAGAATCATTGATGATACTTATTAATGTTTCAAAGATGATTTAATCTAGAATTGATTAATAATTACCGTTGATTTTAATGCAAACAGATAAAGCATTCCTTCGGCATTTGCTACGAATATAATAGCTCGTTCTTGAAATATTCCAACCGTAACAGCTACAATCTAAAGTTAGAATTATCACAGCTGTTAAGAGACAAAAAAAAAGATTTCTACAAGTTCAGATTTCTCTATTAACACAAGCATTGACTAATCGTACGTTATTAATTACTTACAAAACCTAGACCACTTGCTTTTTTCCAAAATGTCTTTCGAGCTCCTTTAAAAATTAATAATTCACCTTGAAAAGTGCCAACAACTAATTCGTTGCTCTAGAATAAGAATAAGAAAATCACTTGATTATATTGTGGAACCCTAACTAATGAAATTCTAACTTTCTTTAATGCTTTATTAAAGTTTCTCTCATCCCCAGTGTTACTTAATATTAAGTCATTTTCAAAGTTGAAATTTACATTTGTTACACTACTATGCTTCGAAAACTGACGTTAGACAGTCGAATATTATTTTACAGAGAAACAAACAACAGTTTTCTTAATTCTCTGTCCTTCTTCATACCTACTTTATTTGCGTCGACATCAGCCAAACATATAGCCTGTTGAAGAACATTTCCATGAATATCGTACTGAACAGTATTTGCTAATGATACAAATCGCATAATGCTCAAAATAAAATTGAACTAAATTTTGATATATACAATTGTAACGTATATCTGTAATGATGAAAACAAAATTTCATAACAATATGAAGAACAAAAACAAAAGAGAACGAGAGATCAGTATTTTTCAAAAAAAAAAATGTATTATCAAATTGTTCTCTGTACTAGTTAGCATTTATACTATTCATACAGTTTCATTTTGTCATAGGAGAGAAAATCATACTATCACTTTCAGAATCTATTTTAGAAACCATTCATTAATACGATTCTTTACATTCATCTAAATCTTAAATGGTAGAAAATTTTGTATCTCTTTTAAAATTTTTTTTTCTTCACGCTTTTCAATTTCAATCTGTCATATATATTTCTGTATATGATTCTTTTTCGTCTTAATGTTCCTATGGTCGGTCATTCAGCAATTATTTGATATATTTTATGTATCACTTTGTGCTCCTGCATTTGTTATCTTCATTTTTATCTTTCAGCATTTTTACTATACACAAATCTACGTTATGACCATACATTATATACAAATACATAGTTAAAAAAGGCTGAAAAAAACGTGAAATAGTTTCTCTTATTCAATTAATCACTAAAATTGTAACAAATAACAAAACAAAAAATATTTGACGAAACAAAAAAGAGAAAGACACAAGCTCATTTACAGAAATAACAATGAAATGCAAAAAACAAAAAGATATCGAAAATAGAAAATAACAAAAAGATGATTGTCGAAAATTGGCTGCAACACGCAAAAAAGAAAAAGAAAAATAAATTAGAAAAATTATGTTTGCTAAGTCAATGATGATGAAGAAGTAGCTGTAGTGGTTATTGTACTAGGTATACTAGATCGAATATCGTCGTTTGTCATTGTAGTATTAGTGGCTGAAGTTGGTGTCATTGTTTGTGTGAAGTCGCCAGACGATGGAGATAATGGCAAGTCAACATAGTCCAAATCAGAGTAATCAATTGGACTTGTGCCATATAAATATCGTTGTAATCGTTCACAAACTTGTTGAAATGTTGGTCGCAAATTTTCTTTAAATTCCCAACAATTTTCAATTATTTGAAAACTAAAAATATTACAGTTCAATAAATATCATAGTCAAGTTCTGTTCTAAATTCAACAAATGACTCTCGTGATAAAAATAGTACACAGTATGAGTCGATGGGGCTTCACTTGAGTGCGTTCTCATCTAAGCGGATTCTAGAGCTCCGTACGGACTGGACTGAAAATTTTTTGAGTTCATGGACTCGGATGAACTGGACTCCAATTTTCAAGATCATGGACTGGTCTAGACTCGAAAAAAAATTTTGGATTCACTTGAATCGAGGAAAAATCAATAAAAAACTAGGTTGTTTTTGTATTGTGGATTGGACTGCACTGCACTCAGAATTTGGAGTCGATACGGAGCTTTCCATTTTAGCGCGTCTTATTTGAGTGCGTTTTCAATTACACCACTCATTGTTGAAAATATTTTCATACTTTTGAACCGTTTCTGTCACTATTGTTTGTTATTAATTCTTAGTGGCTAGTAATCTATTTCTGTCAACACATTTAGTAGGATGTACCGATGATGAAGTAGTTGATTCGGCACCATTACATATACGACATAAAAATGCAACCGTTTTACCACTATTTTTCAGACATCTGGTTAAATGGACAGTATGATACTGAAGTATGGCATGTTTGAATCAAGATAGTTGAACAAATAATGATGTTGAATCATGGCATTGGTTACATCTACTACAACCATAACCGACTGTATGGCGATTGATTAAAACACAATATGCCTTAGTTCAACATGATATTGAATGTTTACGTGCTGGGACATGTACAGATCGAAGAAATTTAAAATATCACAGACTGAACAGAACGGCACAACGTATAACAGATGATTTTAATCTAGATCTAACTCAACCGTTAGACTATGTTTTCGTAGTTGAGAGATGTTTTGCTGCTGCTTGCTCTTGCTAAACGTACATAGCAGTTCTTCTTAAAATGAAACTGCATTGTCAAAATAATACTCACAAGCTTTTTAAAATTAAAATAAAAGATTACTAGTCACTAAAAATTAATAACAAATAGTGCTAAAATAAACAGTTTAAAGTTTCAAAATATTTGCAAGAATGAGTGGTGTAATTGAAAATGCACCCAAATAAGACACGCTAAAATAAGATGCAGTTAAATAAGAACACACCCAAATGAGACGCTCTAGAAAAATAGGCACTAAAATGCAACGTACTCAAATCAGACACACTCATATGCCACCCTCTCATATGAGTCAGTTATTTCTAGCTCAAAAAAAGAGTAAGTTCTTACATTTCATTTGGACAACTGGTTGGTTTTGACATTCTATTACCATCTTTTAGATAATCAAATAGTTTTTCAGCTGGTACAGATGGATAAGGCGTACCACCATATGTCATTATTTCCCTAAAATTGAATAAAATCAAAATTTATGATTGAAAATTTAGACTCGAGTGAGCCGACATACCAGACAAGAATAGCAAAAGACCAAATATCTGATTTTGTAGAGAATTTTCTGTCGAACAATGCTTCTGGTGACATCCATTTTACCGGAACACGTCCCTAGAAAATAAACATAGATCTTTTAATCAATCAAATTTCTAGTGAATAATACACATACGTCTGTTTGTTTTCGATAATAATAATTCTGTGTTAAATCACGAGCTAAACCAAAGTCGCAAATTTTGCATATACGATTTTCTGCTATAAGTACGTTACGTGCAGCTAAATCACGATGTATACACTAATAAAAAGAAAAAAATGACCATATTTAAAACGCCGAACATTTATAAGACAAAAGAGCGATCATACTTTTTTCGAATGTAAATAGTCCATGCCAGATGCTACTTGCAAACTAAATAATAATAAATCAAGTGTGGTTAAAGTTTCTGTTGCTTCATCTACGTGATAATCATCATTTTTTGCTGATTCAAATGAACCAGATAGTACATGACCACTGGGTCGTTTTTGTCTCAAATAATCACGAAGATTTCCGTATTTAGCGTATTCAACAATTAATATGACTTGTCCTAAACGAGAAAAAGATTTATGATTAAATACTATCACGTTTGAGAATTTTTTTAATCAAACTCACCTCCTTTCGTACAACAGCCTAATAGATTGATAATATTCGGATGTTTTCCAACGGTTTTCATAACAGAAAGTTCTTTAAGTAAATTTTCAATTTCTTCTGGTACTGCATCATCTAATTATTATTAAATAGTCAAAAATATATTATCATTAGATCTACGTTCTCTTTATATTTTATGAAAACAATTTTACAAACCTCGTACTGTTTTGATTGCTACTGTTGTCGCCTGTCCATTAGGTACAATACCGTAGGCTATTGCTTGATAAACAACCCCAAATGCCCCTACAAAATAGCAGAAACACAAATGTAAGTGAAAATCACCAGTTATTTTTTGTCTCATTAAGGTATATTATTTTAAACTAATCTCATTTTAGAAAAAAAAGTTTTTCACTAGTATTTAAGATAAAGGGAATATCCTTTTACCTTTGCCGAGTAGATGTCCCTTGATTAATCTAAAAAGAAAAATAGAATAAAAACAATTGTAATTAACCATATTTTTATTTAGAATGACAAACATACTTTTCACGAGAAAATTCACATTGATCATCATAATACGATGATATAATAGTTGATATTGTTGCTTCGGTTGGAAATCGACGGCATCCATCTTCTAATAATGGACGTTTTGTTTTTGATTCGAATTCACTTCGATAAATTGGATTCTAAAATTTTTAAGAAAAATATTATAAAAAATATTAAAATTTTAAACTTAAAAAATAAAATAAAAAATGAACTTTTTATTTACTCCTTTTAAATTTCCAATGCCTCTTGTTGCAAGTATTCTTGTAGCCAATAATGTACGACGTAAACTTTTCTTATTACGACAATGATAGATAAGAAAAAATGTAAAACCAAATATGAGTATACCAATAACAGAAACAATAACAATAATTAATTCTTGAGGCATGCTCGCAATTTGATGACGTACTGGTGTTGATGTAGGACGATGTGCGGCTAAAAATAGAAAGAGATCAATATTATCGACTAGTTCATTTGATATAAACAATTTAAACACAAACCTGGTAGTACATTTAGATAATGATATAAGTCAACAAAACCATATTCATTCAAAACACGACAAAGATAGGTGCCTGTATCATCGATTCGTGCAGTAGTTATGGTCATTAATTTAACTTCATCTTCTGTCATTGTTTGTGGATTATACTCCTATGAAAAATAAAATAGACCATACTATATTAATTGGATAAAAGAGTTAGATAAGAAACAGTATCATTCATTTAGATATTCGAGCATCGAAAATATCCAATTTCTGAATTTTTTCTTCTAACAAATTTATGAAGTCATATTTTAAAATAGAGACGATTAACGTCTTAATGAACAGCCAATTTATTTTCTTTTTGTAAGTTCATTTGTTCATACTAAATATAGTTGAGTCGTAGTTGAGTCGTAGCAAGAAGTATAAAACAATCTCATTAAGAGTATAACCACACTTCAATCATAAAGCTTTAAAGATGACAAGGTAAGTATACGTTATGACTAATTTCTAAAGTATTTATAAATGTCGATATAGTTAACGAGTGTCTGAAACAAAATAAGTACGTGATAACTCGTTGAAAAATCTTTGATTAATCTAATTTAATGATTGATGTTAAAATATGTTATTCTTCACCTTACTGTAATTCAATAGTGGCATATGTTTACGTAATAAAACAATAAAAAAAAAGTAAAATAAAAAAAATTGATTGAACATCATAAGTCACATTATTTGTTCTTTTATCTAAACAACAACTGCTTGTTTTTAGTATATTTCGTGCAATAATATCTATCGTATAGTAATATGTTTATGTTATTCAAGTAATAGTTTATTAACCAAGACAAACAGTTGTTTAAAGTAACAAAAATTTTTAATTATTTTTCTTATTGAAGATGAACATCATGAGTATTTTATTGACCTTATAGTCCTATTTACAAGGGCATATATCATATTTCTGTTAATAGAATTAGATGAAAGACAATGTCATAGAATTACTTTAATTATTGATTTATTGTATCTTTCTCTTATAGTTAAATTAAGCGAACATCTATGAATGATTTATTAATTATTATTATTATTGTATATATAAAAAAAGACGAGAAAAGAAGATTTTAGTCAAGGAAAAAAAGATAAATGTACATTGATTAGGTTATCAGATGAGAAAAAAAAACGAGAAGTCTGTAATAATAATGATAATAATAATAAAATGAGTTGTTGTCTGTGCATAAATTCATAAAGAAACTTATTAACTCATTAATTACTCATAATCCAGTATTTTTCTCTCATTCGATAATATTGACCTTCTCTATGATATCTCTTTTTTAGTTGATAAAAATTTGTTTTCAGGTTCATTGTAACTCGTGTAAAATGGTATAATATAATTTTTTAAGAATTATTTTCAATATCTACTTTATCAACAAATATATATTACATAAGAGATAACATTCGTTCTTGTGTCACAGACATAATTTATGAGTAAAACCCATATGTTACTAATAAAAAAGGTTGTGCTCCTTTGATCGAACTTTAAGAGACAAAATAAAGAGAAGAAGAAAAAGAAGAAAAAAAAAACACTATCTACAAACGAATGTATCAACTTAGGCGTAAGTATATGTGTAAACTTTTTCTCTCTATCTATTCTTATTCTCACATAAGTTCAGTTATTAATAAGGACGTTGATGATGATATTAAGTAATATGAAAAAAAAAAAAAACAGAAAAATTTAAGCACATTTTTTTAACCTTTAGATGGAAAAAAAAATGATGATGTAAATCGACCGATTTCGTTTTCTTTTGTTATGATTTTGTCCGACAATGGGACTTTCTCTTTTTATCCCTCTTGGATTAATTTTAATAATACAATATATAGATTCTTTTAAGTTTTTAGGATTTTTAAACATTATTTGACCTAAAATGTACTGTTAAAATTAACTTAGAACACCATCATCTCAACATATTAGGTGGTTCAGAAATAATTGATCACTTTTCAAAGCTAAACTTCTCTAACTAAGGCGGCAATATTTTACAATCTCATTTTTATAATCAAAAGATGTAAAATTTAATTTTCTATAAAATTATCCATTTGATTGCGAAATGAGTTGAATCTTCACGTCATAACATTTGTAGTAGAAGAGTGGACCTATTTTTAAAACTGTCCGAGTCGCATCCTAATTTTTTCTCAAAGCGTTCCTAATAGGTTCAATTTAACCCTTTTATGATTATTTCTGTTATCAAACGATGCGTATTTTTGAGCTCTACAATTAATTGTATCCTCTTTTTTAAAAGTTCCTCTTTTCCTTCGGAAGAAACAAGGCTTAAATCTTAAGATTGTACTAATTAAATCAACTTTACAATAACACGAATGTTTTTCTTTCAAATCGTCCAAATTTAAAATCATAAATTTGATCTAGAAAGATGCAAAATTTTCTACTCTACTGGACTAGCTTATTTTCTATATCAAATGATAGTTTTATTCAGTAATACAATGAAAAAAATATATAAAACTGGATGGAAAGTTCGTAAAACCATAGAATTCTCAAACAATCGATCTCTAGTAAACAGTTTTTTTTATGCTCTTTTCTTAGTTCGACAGTTTTCAATTTATTATGAAGAAGATGATTTATTGGTGTCTTTTATTTTAATTCATAGCGTTTTTCTTACACGACATGATGCTCACTTTTCTACTTCAAATATTAAGTCATGAAAATTCAACTCATTTCGCAATCAAATGTACAGTTTCGTAGAAAATTAAATTCTTCATCTTTTGATTATAAAAATGAGATTGTAAAATATGACCGTCTCACTTAGAAGAAGTATATCTTTCAAAAATGATCAGTTATTTTTGAATCATCTAATACATACGCCAAATATAAATTCATTAAAAACATGTCAAATACTCAAAATAAAATATAAATTATTATCCAATGATAGATTCAAATAAATGATCAATAAAATATATTAATTGTATTATTTAGTTTTAAAAAAAGAAATGAATTACGCATTCACTTTGACGAATATCCAATAGGACACATGAAACTTCAAACCAATAGTGTTAAAATATTTTTTAAATTTTAAATATTAACCTTATGTTGTTTTTCAATCTAAAACATACTTCTTTTAAATAGATAAAATCTCTCTTACACACGCACACACACACACACACACACACACACACACACATATCATGCACACTTTTTCATAAATAAAAACAACAACAACAAAACAAAACAAAACAATTCAAAAAATATATATAAATATCTGAGCAAAACAGCTAATAATATAGAATAGTTTTTTCAAGCATGCTTCTTATTAAACAAAACCAAAAACATATAATTTTATCACAACTTTTTACACACAGCACAGAACTCATTTCCATTTCTTTTACCTGACGTAATCCTACACTGAACCTTGAACCATTAGAAAACTAGAAAAATTTATCATTTCTTTTGACTCTCATATTTATTTGAAAGAAAAATGATTAATTTTAAATTTAAATATTAAAAATATTATTTACCTTAATAAATTCTTCTTGATTATTTGAACGTTGTAAATACCATTGTACAAATGGACTTGAATCACTATAAAAATAGCATTCAAATGTCACATTGTCACCTTCATATAATGTTTGATTTGATGGTTGAGATAATAATACTGGACGATCAAGACTTCGTCCTAGACAAAAGATGATAATAATAATAGACAAAAAAAGAAATAATAATAATCATATTTTATGAATTTATACCTTGTACAAGAAGTTCAAATGATCGACTAATATTTCCAAGACTATTTTCAATTATACATTTATATATTCCTTTTTCATACATCGTTGCTTTTGATATATTCAAATAATAATTGTCCATTGAATACTAAAACATATCGACATAAAACGATGATTTAATGAGATATTTTTAATAAAAAAAATAAAAAAATGTTCACTTTTCTCATACCAAATCAGATAGTTCATGATTTTGTGGTAAAAATAATTGTTCATCTTTGTACCATGTTATGTGAGGTGTCGGTTTTCCATTATATGGACATTTTAATGATACAAATGCAGCTGCTGGATAAACTAATGATTGAGTTTGTTGAATTGGTTCTGTCCAATAGGGTGAACATTGTACAGTACAATTAGATGTTTGAATATTATTAGATTGTAGTAAATCTCCATCATAATAAACATAATCGTTATTATGAATATCATCTTGTCGAATATTCAATGATTCACCATAGACTAAAATAATTAGTCATATTATAGAGAAAGAAAATATTTTTAATATTCATATCATATACATACCATGAAAAATGAAATTTAATTTTAAAAATAAATAAAATAATATATACAGACAATGTGTAAACAACATAGATGATAATTAATGAAAAATGAATTGATACTTGTTAAAAATGGCTAGAAAAAGAAAAGAAATATATATTGAAGTCAAATATGAATTATCATTATCAATTTGTTTAATATACTCAGTTAATATCAGAATAAACTTTAGACATTTGATCATAAACAGAATTAAGTTACTGATTCTAATTATAATCCACAAAAAACACACGCACACAGAACAACAACTTGTTTTCATGATAATTCAACTATTTCATTCAATAGTAGTGAATTTTTTCTCAGATTTTAATAAGGCAGAGATCTGTATTGATTATTTTTGTTATTGTTGTTGTTGAAAATACAAAAAATGAAAAATCTCTTTTTCTAACTCTTTATCTCACTAAAAAATTTTCTTTTTTAACAAAAACATTTTAGACAAACAGATAACTTTTTTTTGTTTTCTAAAACTATCAGGATAAGAATGATATGTTTTCCATCAGACATTACCTACTGCGTATGAGACATCTTGCAAGAAAAAAAAAAAAAAAACAGAAATATTTGATCTATCTATCTCTCTACGCTCTTTCTTTTTCGTCCTTGTAAACATCAATCAAATTTCGCCTTCTCTGTTATTCTATTCGGGTATTTTATGTGTCTACAAAAAAAAAAAAAAAAAGCTAAAATTTCTCGCAAAGTGCTACAAGTAGATACAACGAATAATAAGTGATGAGCATCTAACCTACCGATATATTACATCATTATAAACCAAAGGAGTTATGAGAATGAATACATATATATATATATATATATACATACATATGTACAGGTGAATATAACACATAGAACAAGAAAAAGAAAAAAAAAAAAAGAAAAAGAAAAAATACGCTTGATGTGTCGCCAAATTAGAATAAATGGACAAATAAACAACAACAGTACAAGGCATCAGAATTCACAAATTAAATGCATAAATAGATGTAAATAGAACACGAAAGGTCCAAAGTCGTTTTTTTTAGAAATAAACGAGTCATTTGACTAGATTCTCTGTCATTCTTCAAGAGATTATTCTTTTTTTTGTCTGTTTTCACTAGTGATACTGGTAGTTTAAACGTAAAAACTGACACTTTACAATTTCATTTGTAGTTCAATTAAACATAGATGAATTTAAATTTCATAACTATCAAAGAAAAAAAGTTTTGATCTCTTTAATTCACGTCAATTTTTCTAATTTTTCAAGAAAATTCTAGTATCTAATACTAAAAAAAAATGACAGGTAATACTTAACATGATCGTATCACTTAATTATAAAAAAAAAAATTATCCGATGATTTGAATTTTCTTTTTATCGTTGATCTCTTTCTTTCGTAACATTAAATTATTAATCCATTTTATTTTTATTTATCAAGAAGAAATAACGCCTCTACGAGTAAGAATTTTTCATGTTAACGATGCATGGAATTTTTTTTTTATTTTTATTTTTTTTTTGTACACGAGTAGATCATATTTGAAGCCTAATCATATAGTTTGTTCGTTTCTTACCAATAACTATTAGAAATAGAAGTATATATTCTTCTGTCACACATAGTTTGTTCGTTTATGTTTTGATTTACATAAATAAATTCATTTATAATGAATAAAAACAAAGTGCTAGTTTACCTTTGTCAACGGACTTATTTCCGCATAGACACATATATACAACACGATAGAAATCTCGTTATATTTATACAAAATAGGAAAAAATGATAATTGTTTTTCTTTTTTTTTTTTTTTTTTGCTCTTCTTTTCATCAACATATTTTTTGATAAGTAAATCGATCTATCAAATGGATGGTGATCTTTGAAGAGCAAAAAAATGTCTAAAGACCGCACACAAAAAAAAACTTGATTATTAACCAAATGTCATCATCATCGTTTATGTTTTATGACTCTAATTTGGAGAAAACTGACACTCGTATATCTTTGTATAGAAATAGGAGAATATGCTTCTGTTTGTCTGTAAATGATATTCTAAATTCTAGTATATAACAGGTTGTTGCCGACAGTTCATGGCCAACCCTCGAAAAAAGATCAAAGTTTGTATAAAATAACGTATTCTACTTAACAATTAATCATCATCTAGTTAATTTCCTTTTTCATCGATATTATATATATATATAATACAATGGAAATCTATAAAATTAATCGATAAAGTTATTATTTTATTCTAATTTTAAATATATACGAAGTATACATACTATTTTAAGGTAACAGTTTTTTATCTACATCTTTAATATTACTCAAAAAGTAAAAGTAAACATCTTTTTAAGTAAATTTTATGTTGAACAAACGAATATGTGTCGACATGATCTAAATAATCTAATTTAGTTTGAAATAACAGTAAAAAAATAGGAAATAAATTTTACTTTTTCTTTGATTTTATTTTTACAGTTTAATCTTTTACATGTAATTTTCAGAAAGAAAAGAAACATAAATGTATATAAAAGAGAGAAATCACCTAAACACTGTCAATGTCATAAGAAAAAAATGAATTTGATGTGTGATAACAAAATTAATCGGATACAGTAGAAAAATTGCAACAGGAACTGTATTTCACAAATGTATACGTACTGAAATATACAATAATTTTTTTATAGATTTGAAATCAGCTTAACTGATCTTGTAGTTGATTAATTCATATCGGTATTTGCTTCACATAGATAGCGAACCAAGGTAAAGTTATTCGTGCCTAAAAACTAGTGTCTGAGAAAGAATAACCATAAAATAGATCTTGACTATTTCGATATAGGCGATTTCTTAATATGAGATGTTTTTCGTAATCTTCTCAAGTAAGATTTGTTCATAACTGAGTCTCTTATGCTAATTTATCGAAACTCTCGTATCCTGATTTTAGAAAAAACAACAACAACTAACAAAACCAATCTATCTGTATATTATTGTTTTGATGTTGATGTGTGTTATTAATAAAAGAAGGAAATAAAAATAAATTGGACATATAATGATAGAAACAGGAGATGATAAACATCATCAATATTATATAGCCGTTCTGATATATACGTAAAATAGTTCTTACAAATATTTGTTTTCTTTTTTTGTGATTTTATGTCTGTATGCAACAGTTATATACACGAACAAAAATTATAAGTTTATCCTTTATTCTTGGATCTAAATAGAAGAAAAAAAAATAGACTTTGTATAGTACCTGTAAACAGATCTCATTATGGTTAAATGAAGGATAAAAGCGAATGGTAGAACTTTTATAGATGATGATTGTCGAACTTATTTCTTGTTAATAACCCATCTATGAGTGAAAAGATGCTGTACAATGAAAAATAAACGAACAAGAAGGACTATAAAGAAGTTAATTATTTGGACTGTTTATGTATGAACAATAAAAACACATTTTCCTACTTTACAATGATAACTACACAGTTTTTTCAATGCACACCAATAAAACCATGAATAATAATCAAGAAATTCTAGGAATCAATCATTTTCAATAAATGAAGCTGCTGCATTCTGTTGTTGTTTTTTACAGATATTTAGAAATAAAATTGAAGACATTACGAAAATTATTGTATAAAAAGTTTGTTCATTTTTTCTTATTTTTACAAAAAAAAAATCTGTCAATACTAAATATATCTGAAGGAAGACAAAGACAGACATCTAGTCAAATTAAACATTATAACAAGTGCGAAAATATCATTTCAATCATTTAAGAAAGTATGAACATACGGCAAGAATTTGTTGTTGTTTTTTTTCTTTCAACGATTTATTTAAACTCGAACATCAAACATAAGTGATTGTTATATGAAAATTGTGTCTATAGTTCCTAACTTTTCGAAGAGCTACCGATTTTTTGTTTTCTTTTTTGATTAATTGGGTGTGTATAAAAAAAGTTTATAATTTTTTTCCTTGTAAAAGTAATATTTTCTATTTACTCTACTGTTGAATTACACGTTGCTCACACACACACAAGATAAAGAAAGAAACATTTTGCTACAATCATAAGGATGTCGACATTTTTCTCGGTGGTAGACAAATACGAAAGTGTATATGACGACAAGTCAAATAGAAAATAAATAAAAGTTATATAGGAAGGGTGCTTGAGAGTAACACAAATAGATCTTAAGGACATGAAAAACAAACGATTGAGTAATGAATATTATCCGTTTTAGTAACATAACTTTTATCTTAGAAGAAACATAAAATGACATTGTATTTTACTAATTCTTCTTTTGCACCTTAAAACATTTTATAAAAATCTACTTTTAGCTCTTTTAGTAGGATTAAACAAACTACTAAACTAATATTTCAAACATTAGAAGGATATATTATTAAATGAAAAGAATGAGAAAAATGACTTTTGATGAACTCAAAAAACTTTTTTGTTTTTTTTTAGTTTACATGAATAATATTTACTGTAAATAAAATTATTTGCTAAACTTTTTCTAAGATTTTAGATAAAAATGATTTAAAATGACTTCGTCTCTGATTTATCTCGTTTTCTGTAAGAAAGTAGTAAACAACATATTAGCTTTTTAAATATAACCGAAAATCATTACAACAAGCTATGAAATTTCGACTCTTACTATTGTATAACAAATACCAATTACTAAAAAAAATGAATAGTTCATTTTTCACACTTTTTTTTCTTCTTTTCTACTATATGTTATTGCGTCTATGAGATATAGAGTGAAAAAAGAAATTATCATTTACTATTTCAACGTTAATGAAATTTTAGGAGTGAGATTAAAATAAAGATAGTGATATCATGATCTACAACGACTTCCGAAGATGAACTTCACCGAGTAATTAGAAAATTTTCTTTTTTTTCTCAGAAAAATAAAATTTTTTGGATTGTCATTCAAAATTTGAAAGATCAAACATCTTTGAATATAGACAACAAAAAATTTTAAATTTAGCTCAAATTTTCTTAACAGATAGGCTTCATATGAACAAAAAATATGTTGATTTCTTCATATCTAGACGTATTTAGTCACTTAATGTGACTTTTCAAAAGATTTTGACACATTTCAATCTTCTTCAGTATAAATGTTGATGCTTACGTAGGCTTTTCATTAATCATCATATAGATTTTTTTTAATTGATCTCTGATGAATAATGGCATGATGGAAAATATTGCCAGTAAAAATAATTATTCGATGAATGAATATTATGATGATGGATAAAATTTGATCGATTTACAATTTTTTTACACTTGATAGTATCTATAAAATAACTCTATGATAATATGATAGACGGTAAACGAAAGATATGTTCGCAGAAGAATGTGTACTACTCTTTTTTTCTTTTTGTTCTTTTCTGTTTCCATGTCAGATGCTCTATATTTTGACACTAACAAAGCAGAACATAACAAACTATCAGCATCAAAAGAAATAAATAAAAAAAAGAAGAATAACGATCTAGTTGTGCATATACAAAACGCCCAGTTTTACATAACATTTAATAAAAATTATTATGTTTGTCTATAGTTAATGAATACAAATAATCAATAGTGTAAAAAAATCAAAAGTCAACAATAGTGAACAATAATTATATTCAAGAACACAATGTACAAATTAAAATATTTCATAAATTAGACGATTTATTTACTCATAAGTGATATGATAGCCACTATAAATAAATATTAACGTTCAAAAACATACGATAAGACGTATCTATCGAGTTATATTATTTTTCTCTCAATTCGTCCTATTTTTGTAGAGAAAGAGTCAAATAGAAGACATTTTCTGGCTCATTTATCATCAATTGTGTATAACAATAAAGTTTGAACTAAGTAGTACAAACGTTTTCTATCACTATAAAAAATATATCCAGTCTTTATTACCTGAATGTGTTCACTATTCGCTTTTTTTCATATAAAAATTAATAATCTTGTTAATTTATATTATTTTTAGAATGAGTTTCAATATCTTATAAGTTTATTTATAAATTTGAAATTATTTTTAAACTTGAGAATATAAATAACTAACAAAAATTATGAAGTAAATCGATTTAAAAAAAATTTTTTTTTTTTATATAACTTGAGATATGTTTAATAATAATAGGAATAATCAACAACAAGGAGAGAGACATGAATAGAATCGTTTATGTGAGACGAAGAGAGAAAAAAAAGAAACGGTACTTTATTATTATTGTATTGTATTGTATTGTATTATACATGTTAAAAGAAAAGAAAAAAAAATAATAACAAGAAAGAAAGGAATCTAACGATGAAAAAAGAAAGGTAAGAATAAGTGCTGCTGTTGCTCTGTGAACCGAAACGAAAAAAAAAAGAGAGAAGAGAATATCCAATGAATGATATAGATAGGCGAAAGATATCGAGTAAACGTGTGAAAGACTTATACATGCGTCCTTATCTATCTGTTGGTCTTTTTTTCTTTTGGCCTCATATTCTTTTCTTTTTCTCTTGTTCGATATCATCATCATTATTACTTTATGTACAATTTTACATATCTCGATAGATATACAAACACAAAACTTTTTTTTTTATTTATTTATTTATACATTTGATTAATCTAAACTTTGGCTTTAGACACACGTTATCATCAAAAAAAAAAAAAAATCTGAATACATTTTTATTCTTTCTTCTGCGAGCAAGTCTACAGAAATCCCAAAGCATTTCCCCTCATTGAAAGAAAAAACACACCTCTTTAAAACAGAACATAATAATTTCTAAAAAGAAATATAATCAAATTATGGATCAAAAAACGTTCAGAATTAAGAGTGGAATCTGCATAACAAGTGCTTGCTTCAAGTAATTTCAATTGTTTTGCTGTGAAAAAAGAACGAAATGATACTCACAGACTTATCCAGTTCTGATTCAAAATGTAACTTGGAAAAAAGTTATTTTTAGTGTATTGTCTAATAAATTGTAAATTATTCAACGAATTTCAGATATTCAAAACTAATAACAGGTTAGAATAATGTATCACACGTCCATTGATCAGTCTTCACAGTCGTAAGAAGAGAGATAGATTTATAGACAATGTGTACATCTTCTAATTTGATCGACGGTCAAATATCTTGTGTATCAGGGTCAAAGATACAAAAAAAAAGAAAAGAAAAGGCTCTTCAAAATCAACTGTAGACTGTACAAAAAAAAAAAAGAATGTCTTTGATGATTTTGAATACGTGAAATTTTTTCTAATCGAAGTGATGAGAAATATTTTGAAAATCTGACTGACACTTTTGTATTTTCTTTTTTTTTAGTAATACTTTAATATTACAGCAGGTATACTGTGCAAGTGCCGATTTTTTCATCTTTTAATCAGAGAATTTTTTCAAACATGATAGGAATCAGTAGAGATAATCAATTCTGAGTAAAATTAAATGGGTAACAGAAATGTTTACATATTTCCGCTTTCTTTTTGTATTGTATGAAGTGAGAATAAGAACATAATCGAATATAAATAATACTACGCACCGTATGTATGTGTCTGTATGATAAAAATCATGAGAAGAAACGATTAAAGCGTGTTGTACATAGAATTGTACAATTAACAATTTTATATATGGATATCGTGTGTGTTCATATTTGTAATTTGTTCTTACTTCTGGCTAATGGAAAAAAGAAAAGAAAATGAGATAGATAGATAGATATAATCAACGACAGATTAATAGTGATGTTGTTTTTCTGTTTATCTAATTTTTTGTGTTTTATGCAATCATACATCATTAAAAAGTGTGTTTAAAGGAATTGCCCCTGAGAAAATAGTTCATTTTTGTGAACATGATTATTGTTATTATTATTATTATTTTTATATGGATGGTTCAACTCACATCAATAACCAGGTGTATGAAACATATAACAAGCTGTTTGCTGTTATTTCAACAGAGCTGATAAAAAATACGCATAAATAATTGTTCTTCTAACAACACAAGCATCACATATTGAAATAACTAATAATCATCTGTGATGAGACAAATTTCTTAATAGTTGCCTAAAACAAATTAGAAGCTGTGACAATGATCAAATTGTACGTTAAGTAGTTTCTCTTAGTATTTCGAATGAGTATCAGTCTTTATTTTCTAAAAATAATTTATTAAAGACATACTTATATATTTTTGTTTTACTAATGAGTTGTATTAATATAATTACCATCATCTACGAACAATTAGCAATAAAAATAAACTTGTACGATTTATTGTTTAAAAATATGAGACTACACTTCATAGGGACTAATATGATTCTATTAGTTCACATACGTATCTAAGAAAAGATAACAAACATATTTATCCTATATTCCATTCATTTCATACACACACACACATCAAATGACCATCATCGCCTATAAATAGTATTTAGAAAAAAATAATAAAAAATCTTTTAACATACTCAACATTAAAAGTGAAGTCAATCAATCAACACCTTTTTTTTCAAATGATAAATCAATCTAGAATCGTTTATCAACGCTATATGAATATTCGAAATTAGAATATCAGTTTTAATCGAGAATTATGTCGACTTAGAAAACATTTCATAGATTAACGATGAAAAATATCGTTTGATAACTATTATAAATGGAAAATGTTTTGTTAGATTAATAGAAACTATAGTTAAAACATTAAGGTGTAGAAGAAAATGTTTATATGTCAAAAAAGTAATTTAAGCAGAAAAGATTTATGTAAGGTGTTTCTTTTTTTTTTGGTTTGCATCTGAGCAAAACACTATTTAACATTATCTCTGAAAGAAACTAATATTTTTTACATTAGAATTCATTCAGTAAACTAATGTATAACACGAAGTTAGTGACCCAAAATATAATCGACACATTTTTTTTTTGTTTGTCCACAAGACTATACTTTAAGATAGATATGTTTCCATTACGAACGATAAGTAGTATACAAACTAAAGGTCTTTTTATCTACACCTCCTATCTATCGATCATTTAATTGTCAATAGTTCATTATACAATGTTTCTTAGTCAATTAGCGGGAAATTCTTAAGATTTTCATTCTACATATTCTTTAAGTAAATAATAGAAAATAATAATGAAACATTAACTATTTTTCTTTGAAAAAAAAATCAACAAACAATTCAAATAAAAATATGTTTTCTCTATCAAAAACTAGAAGTGAACAAAGTTTAGAAACTGTTAGTGAAAATTCCATATTATCCTATGATCATGGTGATAACTTTTATGATATTAAAACACCATTGAATAATTGTTTGTCAACTATAAATCAACATCATCAACGAACATCTATCTTCTATAATAATATATTTTCAAAACAAAACTCATCCACAAAAATAAATTCAATTAATTCTTATTCATCAAATATTTTAAAACATTTGAATGCTCTAAAAAATTTACAAATTATTTATAATCAATTAGAAGGAAAATATTTAAATGATGTAAATAATTTAGAATATGAATATTTTCAACAATATACAAAGTATTTTAGTTTGAGATCGTCTATTATAAATGGACAATATGAACCAACGGATGATGAATGTCGTTTAATGACCGATAGAACAAATAATAATGAGATTAGTAGTAATAATATCTTTATGGATGATGAACAACAACAACAAGATAATATGATTGCTCAAGAAAATGAGGAGGATAAAGATATTAGAGGAATACCGTATTTTTGGTTAACAACTTTAAAACAAGTACAATTAATTGGAGAAACAATTGAAGATTATGATGAACCAATATTAAAATTTTTACAAGATATTAAATTAAAATTACATATTGGTGAAATAACAGGTTTTACATTAGAATTTTATTTTGATAATATGAATAATTCATATTTTTCAAATCAAATATTAACAAAATTTTATGAATTACAAATTAAACCTGATATTAATAATCAAGATGATTTACTCTATTATGAGGGAACAGCAATTATAAAAACAATTGGTTGTTCTATTAATTGGTATAAGACAAAAAATGTCACATTCAATGATAAAAATGAAAAAAGATCATCATTTTTTTGGTTTTTTTCGCCACCAACACAAAATGATAATGATTATATCAATGATGATGATTATGCATTAAAATTAGCTACAGATTTTGAAATTGGACATTTTATAAGAGAAAATATTATAGGAAAAGCAGTTTTATATTATACGGGAGAGGCTCTCGATGATCAATATTTAGGTAGATTAATTTATAATTTTTGTTTTTTTTTCTTCTTTAATCGTTGATAAATGGCTTCCGGCAATGAGTTATAAGTCGAAAATTATCTGATAGATGTTTCTATTTTTAGATGATCTTGAAACGAGTGATGAAGATAATGGAAACGAAGGTGATGATCAACAAAGTGATAAAAGTAGTGAACAACAATCTAGAGGAGAGGAGAACATTGTCAAAGAAGAATTCAAAAAATAAGACAATTTTTTATATGAGAAAATGGTAGAGTTGATACGCTGCTAATTAATGAAATTTCAGATAGAATAAAAACTGTATATTATATACAGACAGTAAAATGCAATGTAACATGAGCTTTTTCTTCTTCTAATTATTTATCAATGAATTGATCATAAAAGTCATGTTACATATTAGAGATATGAAAAAGGAATTAGACACTTCTTAAGAGTTTGCCACTAGAAACAAAATCAATTTTTTAATTCATGTTTTATTGCTAAAATCCTACCGAAAAAACTGATATTAGATTGGTGGTATAAAATATCCACGAATTTCACTATAAAGACCATGAAGTTTTGTACTCTTGCTTAAATTTTGTTTCACTAATAAAGTAAATAATACATTTCCTATTAGAATGAAGAAAAAAAATCAGAATTTTCTTATTATGTGATTCGTTAAATAGTGTATCTTGCTCACCATCGTTTTTATTAAAACCATGTTTCTCAAGTACAGTACTTTGTAATCGAGCCAATTTTGGAAATATACAATTCATATAGATGACAGCATCATTTGCTGAACATAAACGAGCTTCTCTTAATTGAGTTATATTTTCCGGTTTATCAAACATATCAAGAATTTCTTGACAAATCACTGAAAAATGGACAAACGTTGAATTTATTGATAAATAATAATTATATTAGCTAACCTTCTAGTTCATCTGGTTGATACAACTGTAACTGATCGTTTATTGTCAATGAAGTATCCATATTGATTGGAAGAAATGATATTTAATCTAAAAAATAAAACATATCGATCAATTGTCAATATTTTTCAAAACTTTAAAATTTATTTAAGAAAAATATTCTATTTATAAATTTAATTCTCACAGTCAGCTTTATTATAAAAGAAAATTTAACATAAATTTTGATTAGTCCCACGAAGTGTCACCCGTAGGCCAAAAGGATTCATCAGCAATGGTATTAGAAGACAGTATTTCATTTTTATTTATTACTATTAATTCTTCTTCTTTATCTTCGTTAATTCTGGGAAATTTAATTTGTTCAACAATTGGTTCATCATCAACATTTGACAATGAACGTTTTTCACTTGTACTTGACCGTAGTTGAATCTCCATTTGTGTTTGTGACGGCATCGATAAATGATTATCGCTAAATAAACCATTTGTTAATTTGTAATAGGAAATGGTAAAATCATTACTAATAATAGCCAGCAAAACACTGTAAACAAAAACAATAACGTTTATAGAGATTCGTTTATCTTCATAAAACATACCTTTGTACATGTTGATGAGTAACATATTCTTTCAAATTTTTAGTTAAATTGAATAATTCATCCGTACTGTAGGCATCGTCACTTGACACTGGTAAGATGAATACAAGTGGTTGTGTTGTTTGTTGTGAACCAAGAAAAAAAATCACTTTTTTTCCCACATAATAATGAACGTTTAATATTTTCCAATGACGACCTGTACTAAATCGAAAAACATGAAAAAATTAAAAATTAAAAAAAAAATGAAAATAAATCATATAATTTCATTACAATGTTTTAAATCAACATAAACTCTCATAGCTAATGCCTTTTGCTTTGGATCACATTGTTTTAATATTTCCATAATTGAATAATATATTAATCTATAATCTAAATATAGCAACACATCGGCAGAATGATGAATTTATAAAATGGATATCAATATAGGAAATTTTCTTTGTCTTAATTATGAACGAAATAGATTCTATTTCAATTTGTTATCTACTTTTAAAGTTTATATGAGTGGGTACGAGACGTTTAAAAATCTATCTCTTTGACTACCCTAGAGAAAGAATTTTTGACAATTTTTATCAAGTTTCTGATAAGATTCTTACAAGATTCGTATATAAGATGTTGCACGGAAGTGACAAAAAATTCACTGGTTCTGATAAGATTCTTATAAGAAACTTATAAGATATTCATAAGAAAGTAACAAGCCGCCTTATCACTTTCTTATGAATATCTTATAA